TCAACGTCCTCAGGAAAAAAAAAACCAAAGCTGTCTTTGTTTTCAATATCATTGTTTTAATAAATTAACATTTTCTTTGGTTTTCCGGTAAGATTTATCTCAAGTAAAGCCATCATAGTATGTCTGTTCCCTTGAATAGAGTATTTGTGAGCTGCAGAAGCTAATGAAGTTTCTTTTCCAAATATGCCTTTACCAAGGAAAAGGAGCTCTTCGGCATTAGGGAATAATGACCTAGTTTGCTGTACTGCTTAATACCAATGTGCTCAAGTACTAAAGAGCACAGAACAGCTCTGCTATGCTTGTTCTGAGTTAGAAACATTACACTGAACTAAATCCAGCTCTACCATCTGATCAAAAAGCATTTCAGCCACATCACTACCACTGTTTTTAAAATCTTAGTTTCATACACCTGTTTATAAAGAAGATAATATAAAGACACAGTTAAGAAAAGCATACTGTGCTTCTATAAAAGGTTCAACAGAGATAGACGGACTCTACACTTGAACAAAACCATTGTTAACGTGAAATTATGATAGAAGACACTGGAAAACTTTTAAACATCCAACCAGAGGGATATAATTTTGGAAAAGGCAATTAACAACATGTATTGTAGTGCAGTTATTTTAAAATTATATCGAAAACTGTGCCTCCAAAAGGAAAAAATATCTGATCCATTAAAATGAATTATAACATAAAAGATTTATAGCTACTTAAAAATATACAATCACTGGAACAAGTCTTGAATGGTAGTAATGCATATTGAGAAGAATTGTATTGTAAGACACATTTTCTATTTTTGACATTTCCTTTGTGTTGTTACATCAATGGGTTAGTCACTTTTTTTAAAAGAAAGGAAGGAAAAAAAATGGTATTCTATAAAGTCGCTTCGATAGCCTGTGATTTGGGTCCTTATAAAAGAGTAAAGGAAAGGGTTTCACTATACTTTGTTTTGCTAACAGACATCTGCTGTCCTTTTCCTGGTGTGATTTTCATTAGAGCTATTTTCAAAGTGCTTGAATCAGGATTAGCTACTGAGTAAGAGGCTTCTTGTTCTTTTAGTCACTAACTGACACAATTTGGCTTGAAATGCAGGATTCATCACTTTGTTGGGTCCTTTAAGGGCTGGGCCACCCTGACCTTGAAAATTCCCAAAGAGGAAGACTTGGACTTTTAATGATACCATCATTCAAACAAGGGGTCTTGGATTTAACATCCAGCCTCCAACCCTACACCTTCCACAGAGCACAGGACCTGAATAGACTGATGTGACCCGACTATGCAGGTTTCAGGGGAATGACCTTATCAGACTGAAGCCTTGCCCACTTGAGTCATCCGTGGAAGTCAGCAGAGCCAGGAAACAAGCCCTGGGGCAGTGCGGTGTTCTCACCAAACACAGCTTCATGGAAGATATCCCACTGGTCATATGACATTTTGTGGCAAAAAGAATAACCTCAAACACATTCATTAGATGCAAAAGTAACTGCAGTTTTTGCACTGTTGAAATTTGCTGTTTGAAAAAAAAAAAGAAATTTGCTGTTTGATATTGGAATACATTCTTAAATGAGGTTATGTGATACATAATTTTAATGTGCATTTCTCACTTTGTTTTTTTCCTAATTACTTATTACTTGCTGTTTATTTTATATTCATTTTAGACTATGGAAATGATGTTAGAAAAAAGCAAATTCAAGCAATCTTCTTATCTGAGTTCAAAATGGGCCATAAAGCAGCAGAGACAACTCACAATATCAACAACACATCTGGCCCTGGAACTGCTAACGGACATCCAGTGCAGTGGTGTTTCAATAAATTTTGCAAAGGAGACAAGAGCCTTGAAGATAAGGAGCACAGTGGCCGGTCACTGGAAGTTGGCAATGATCAACTGAGAGCACCATCAAAGCTGATCCTCTTACAACTACACGATAAGTTGCCAAAAAAACTCAGCATCAACCATTCTATGGTCATTCGGCATTTGAAGCAAATTGGAAAGGCAAAAAAGCTCAAGTGTGGGTGCCTCATGAACTGACTGACAATCAAAAAAATCGTCATTTTGAAGTGTCATCTTCTCTTACTCTACTCAGCAACAATGAACCATTTCTTGATTGGATCATAATATGTGATGGAAAGTGGATTTTATACAACAACCAGCAATGACCAGCTCAGTGACTGGCACCGAAAACTGCAAACGCCAGTAGCTGGCATTGATCAACAGAAAGGGCTCAATTCTTCTCCATGACAACACCAGAACACATGTTACACAACAACACTTCAAAAGTTGGACAAATTGGGCTACAAAGTTTTGCTTCATCCACCATATTCACCTGAGTGAGTGAGTGAGTGAAAGCCATTCAGTCGTGTTCAACTCTTTACAACTCCATGGACTATATAGTCCATGGAATTCTCCAGACCAGAATACTGGCACGGGTAGCCTTCTCCAAGGGATCTTCCCAACCCAGGGATCAAACCCAGGTCTCCCGCACTGCAGGCCGATTCTTTACCAACTGAGCCACATGACCTCTTGCCAACTGACTACCACTTCTTCAAGCATCTTGGACAACTTTATGCAGGGAAAACGCTTCCACAACCAGCAAGAGGAAGAAAATGATTTCCAAGAGTTCGTCAAGTCCTGAAACACGGATTTTTATGCTACAAGAATAAACCAAGTTATTTCTCATTGGCAAAAATGTGTTGATTGCAATGGTTCCTATTTTGACTAATAAAGATGTGTTTGAGCCCAGTTATAATGATTTAAAATTCACTGTCTGAAACCACAATTTTGTTTGGACCAAACTACTACATTCTGTGAAATGCATAAACACCTGTTGTAGACATCCACAATACACTCAGTGAGAAGCAAGCACATGTGATGCAGTAAGAATTCTCCAGGCAAGAATACTGGAGTGGGTTGCCATTCCCTTCTCCAGGGAAGCTTTCCTAACCAGAGACCAAACCCAGATCTCCCACACTGTAGGCAGATTCTTTACCATCTGAGCCACCAGCAAGGCCCAAAGAATAGCTCACATTTATACATTTCCTTGAGATACGCTGGGCTGGATGACGCACAAGCTGGCAAGATTGCCAGGAGAAACATCAATAACCTCAGATATCCAGATGACACCACCCTTATGGAAGAAAGCGAAGAAGAACGAAACAGCCTCTTGATGAAAGTGAAAGAGGAGAGTGAAAAAGCTGCCTTAAAACTCAATATTCAGAAAACTAAGACCATGGCATCTGGTCCCATCACTTCATGCCAAATAGATGGGGAAACAATGGAAACAGTGACAGACTTTATTTTGGGGGGCTCCAAAAATCACTGTAGATGGTGACTGCAGCCATGAAATTAAAAGACTTGCTCCTTGGGAAAAAAATTATGACCAATCTAGACAGCATATTAAAAAGCAAAGACATTGCTTTGCCAACAAAGGTCCGTCTAGTCAAGGCTATGGTTTTTCCAGTGGTCATGTATGGATGTGAGAGTTGGACTATAAAGAAAGTCAAGTGCCGAAGAATTGATGCTTTTGAACTGTGGTGTTGGAGAAGACCCTTGAGAGTCCCTTGGACTGGAAGGAGATACAACCAGTCCATCCTAAAGGAAATCAGTCCTGAATATCTTTGGAAGGACTGATGTTGAAGTTGAAACTCCAATGCTTTCACCACCTGATGTGAAGAACTGACTCATTTGAAAAGACCCTGATGCTGGTGAAGATTGAAGGCAGGAGAAGGGGACAGCAGAGGATGAGAGGCTGGATGGCATCACCAACTCAATGGACATGAGTTTGAGTAAACTCCGGAGTTGGTGATGGGCAGGGAGGCCTGGCGTGCTGCAATTCATGGGGTCGCAGAGTCGGACACGACTGAGCAACTGAACAGAACTGACTGATGCATTTCCTTGGTGGTTTCTCAGTGCTCGCTGTTGTTCCCTCGTCTCCTCTCATCATCTTTTTGTCTGAAAGCAGGAGCCTGCATGCTGGAGTGCTTTGGGATCCATCCTTTTACCTCTATCCATGCAATAAATTGACTTCCCTAGTGGCTCAGATGGTAGAGCGTCTACCTACAATGTGGGAGACCAGGGTTCAATCCCTGGGTTGGGAAGATCTCCTGGAGAAGGCAATGGCAACCCACTCCAGTGTTCTTGCCTGGAGAATACCAGGGAAGGGAGAGACTGGTGGGCTGCCATCTATGGGGTCGCACAGAGTCAGACACGACTGAAGCGACTTAGCAGCAGCAGCAGCAGCAGCAGCAGTGGCTCAGACGGTAAAGCATCTGCCTACAATGCGGGAGACCCGGGTTCAGCCCCTGGGTTGGGAAGATCTCCTGGAGAAGGAAATGACAACCCACTCCAGTACTCTTGCCTGGAAAATCCCATGAACAGAAGAGCCTGGTGGGCTACAGTCCAAGGGGTCGCAAAGAGTTGGACACGACTGAGCGACTTCACTTCACCTCATGCAATAAATATTATGTGAGTATTGTGTGCATAAAATATCAGATTCATTGGGTCTGGAGGCTCATGCTTGGGGCCAGGAAGAAGTACTGTGGCTCCCACCTCAAGAGTAAATGGAGGCTCTCAACCAAAATTTGGTTCAGATGCCAAGACTGATGACACCACAAACTCACCAACAAGGCATGGACATATTTATTACTCACAAAATGAAGTTCTATGTGGAGAGCTGCATGGGTTCAAAGCATGGCTAAGGATGCCTCGAAAGAGAATAAAGCCTGTCTTGGCTCAGTGTTGATATTGAGGTAGGGGAATGGCACAGGTGAGCCAGCACTGGCACTGTTTGAACTTCATGCTGCTGCATGGAAGGAAAACCCTGCACTTTCTGAACACAATTCCCGAATGTGGGACAAAGGAGAGATAAGAGTGATGGGGATGAAGAGCTATCAATAGTCAAACATCAAAAATGGAGCCAGACCAAAGACATCAGATGGCAGAATGCAGACTAGTTCTCAAGTCCCTTCCAGCTTTGACAACGTATTCATTGAATCCTGCTTCTTAGGCACCCATTCAGAGTGCTGGAAGGGGAAGTCATCTTTTATAAAATCATCGATTACATTTTACATGGAAAAGAAGAGATCAAAGTCATTCCGACAGCTCCCACGGACCACTGGACTCTTGTTAGTGGGTTGCCAACATACATTGCTGAAAATGGATTTATCTGCAACATGCTGAACGCCCCAGCCGATGAATACTTCACGTTTCAGAAAGGACCTGTAGATGAAACTGGTTGGGTCATTAAAAATGTCTTGTCCCTGCCTATTGTCAACAAAAAAGAAGACATCGTGGGTGTAGCTACATTTTACAACAGGAAGGATGGAAAGCCTTTTGATGAATATGATGAGCACATTGCTGAGACTCTCACACAGTTTCTTGGATGGTCTCTTTTAAATACTGACACCTGTGAGAAAATGAATAAGCTGGAGAACAGAAAGGACATAGCCCAAGAAATGCTCATGAACCACACCAAAGCTACGCCTGATGAAATCAAGTCTATTTTGAAATTTAAAGAGAAGTTAAATATAGATGTAATTGAAGACTGTGAAGAAAAACAGCTTGTCACAATTTTGAAAGAGGACCTGCCGGACCCACGGACCGCAGACCTGTATGAATTCCGCTTCAGCGACCTGCCCATCACAGAGCACGAACTGATTAAGTGTGGACTTCGGCTGTTTTTTGAAATAAACGTGGTGGAGAAATTCAAAGTACCCGTAGAGGTTCTCACCAGATGGATGTACATGGTGAGGAAGGGGTACCGGGCCGTCACGTACCACAACTGGAGACACGGGTTTAATGTGGGGCAGACCATGTTCGCTTTGCTGATGACAGGAAGACTGAAGAAATACTACACAGACCTTGAAGCCTTTGCCATGCTTGCTGCTGCCTTCTGCCATGACACTGACCACAGAGGCACCAATAATTTGTATCAGATGAAGTCCACTTCTCCGCTAGCAAGGCTTCACGGCTCTTCCATCTTGGAGAGGCACCACCTGGAGTACAGTAAGACGCTCCTGCAGGGTGAGAGTTTAAACATCTTCCAGAACCTAAATAAATGCCAGTATGAAACAGTTATTCATTTGTTTGAAGTTGCAATAATAGCAACTGACCTGGCTTTATATTTCACGAAGAGAACCATGTTTCAAAAAATTGTTGATGCCTGTGAAAAAATGGAAACTGAAGAAGAGGCCATCAAATATGTAACCATTGATCTAACCAAAAAGGAGATTATCATGGCGATGATGGTGACTGCGTGTGATCTGTCAGCTATAACCAAGCCCTGGGAGGCACAAAGTCAGGTGGCACTCCTGGTTGCAAATGCATTTTGGGACAAGGAGATCTGGAGAGAACAGTGCTGCAGCAACAACCCATTCCTATGATGGACAGAAACAAAAAAGATGAACTACCTAAACTTCAAGTTGGATTTATTGACTTTGTCTGTACTTTTGTATATAAGGAGTTCTCACGGTTTCACAAAGAAATCACGCCTATGCTGAATGGTCTTCAAAACAACAGAGTGGAATGGAAATCCCTAGCTGATGAGTATGATGAAAAGATGAAGCTAATTGAAGAGATGAAAAAGCAGGAAGAAGGAAATACGACTGAAAAATCTGTAGAAGATTCAGGAGGTGGTGGTGATGACAAGAAGTCCAAAACATGTCTAATGTTGTAAGACAATCCAACTGGTCTAAATTACAAATATTGTTTCTACATTTGAAGAAAACATTAAAAAAGAACATCAGCAAATTTCATTCATCAAACCATCAAGTAACAGAGACTCTTCAGGAAAGCTATCCTGTGACTAGCATAAGAAAATACACGGCTAGCCTGAAAGCCATGAGGGTAAAATAAAGTTCAAAAAAAAGTGCAAAAGAAGACAAAGATAAGTGCATTTTTGGTGCCAATTTGTTTTAAATTAAAAATAATATAATCCTAAAAAAAAAATGGAGCCAGACTCTTCATTATAGAGGGATGAATAAATAGTAATTAAAAAATAATGCCATTTGCAGTAACACAGATGGACCTAGACTGTTACACTGAGTGAAGTAGGTCAGACAGAGACAGACAAATACCACATAATATCACTTATATATGGCTTCCCTGGTGGCTCAGACGGTAAAGAATCTGCCTGCAATGCAGGGGACCTGGGTTCGATCCCTTAGTTGGGAAGATCCCCCGGAGAAGGGAAAGGCTACCCACTCCAGTGTTCTGGCCTGGAGAATTCCATGGATTGTATAATCCATGGGGTCGCAAAGAGTCAGACACAACTGAGCGACTTTCACTTTCATTGCTTATATGTGGAATCTTTAAAAAAGAAAGGGGGAGGGGGTGTGAATGAACTTATTTACAAAACAGAAATGCAGTCACAGATTAATAAAAAACAAACTTAGGGTTACCAGGGTGGTAATGGAGGTAGGGATAAATTGAGAGATCAAGACTCCATATACACACTACTATAGAGAGAGAACTAATGAGGACCTACTGTATAGCACAGGGAACTCTACTCAATATGCTACAATGATCTATACAGGAAAATAATCTAAAATAGAGCGCATATATGTATATGCATAACTGAATCGCTTTACTGTACACCGGAAACTAACACAACATGACAAATCAACTATACTCCAATAAAACTTTTTAAATAAAATTAAATTTAAAAAAGAAATAATTCAAAATAAGCACATATTCTCTTACTGTTCCTATTAAAGACTCCTGCCCACCTCCAACAAACTTTTCCCTTTAAAGATGCTTTCCCCCTACAAGTTGTAAAATAGAATTTACAATCTAGTATAGAAAGCAGTAAGTAAACCAACAATTAGAATTACAGAGAAAGAGCAAGAATAAATCTATGCATAGTTTACTGGTGGGAGCAGATGAGAGGAACTTATGAGGGGAATTAGGAAGGCTCACCTGGCACCACACTGTGAAGGAGCGGAGGAAAGCAGCAAGGCAGGAGGGCGTTTGGGGCCAAGGAAAGGACATGGGAGAAAGAGAGCATGACCCACCGAGAAGATTTTTAAGAGCTCAGATGGGGCTACAGTGTAAAGGAGTGCTGAGAAATGAGGCTTGAAGTTTCCATCCAGAGCAGGTCAGGAACACCCTTGAGAACAATATCTTAGAAAGAAAGGTGGGGCGTTAGAGGATTTTAAATAAAAAAGCAGTAGGGAGATTACATCTGCATTTAAAAAAAGAATCACCCTGCAGCAGACCTAAGGGTGGATGAGATGGAGAGCTGACTAGAATCAAGAACACTTTTGAGAGCAGAGGGCACACTGACAGAAGACTGCCATGAGAAAATGACCTAGAGCAGTCAGCAGTGGGCTGGGCGCCGCCGAGGTGAGAGGCAGCTGCCGCAGGGTGTGTGGTGGGAGGGCGGGAGAAGGAGAGTGATTCCAGGGCAGAGGTCATCTCAAGTATCCCCCAGCCTTCCCCCCTGGATGAGAAGGCCAAAAAAACCCTTTTTTTTTTCCTTTCTTTTTTTGACACAATGGCACGTGGGATGTTCGTTCCCACAAAAGGGATCAAACCCAAGTCCCCCACGCTGGAAGGTGGATTCTTTACCATTGGACCACCGGGGAAGTACCAGAAAAACATGTTTTAAGAAAGTTGAGTGTGAGCTGTCTTTTTGACTTCCAAGCAACATTCAAAAAGCAAGAGGGATAGTACGACTGGAGATGGTGACCCCAAATCACTCTCAGAGAAGGTACGGTGAGGCTCTTCCCCTTTTAAAAGTACAAAAGGTCTATCTCTTGACACTTCACAAAAGAAAAACATCACTCCTCAGGATAATGATACACTCAAGAGCCTATTCATAAGGAGGGGGAAAAAAAAAACCATGAGAGCCAAGTATCTCCAATCACATTTGACTAAACGTTTATTGTAGGAACCAGCTCACACGCATCTTTCCCAAAAAAAAGTTTTCACAAACTTTTACTGATGTCATCCCGGGTGGAGGACAGAAAATCATGTCAGGAAAAGTCAGAAAATAAAAGTTTGAGCCATGCACAATTACTAGTTGTTACTTAATTGAGAAGCAGCACAAGTACCCAGACCTAAGTGAACACAGTATTAACAGGTAAACAAGGAAAAGTAGGTCATCCCCCCAGTCCAGAGCCCCAAGTCTCCTCTTCAGAGGCAATGCATACTGCCAGCCTCTTGTGCATTTCCCCATAAATCTGAATTGCTTTGCTGTGAACACAGCTACTGGCCTTACAACTAATCTTTCAAAAGGATTTACCTATCAAGAAGTCTATTTTCCAGCTGCAAGACCAACAGAGCCAGAACCGCCTCATAAGTAAATTAAGCAACTAAGGAATACATCAAAGTAACCAATGGCTCTTTGACCAGGTGGAGTCAGTTTTTACAAGTTGAGTGGTTTATTACCTGCTTTTATCGCCTACGAAGTTCCAGCTTTCTCCATCAGGCCAAGTAACCACCTGTCTTCCCCCAGAGCTCTAAGAAATGTCTTACCTTGGAACCAACCAGTAACAGCACTACGTAACTGGGAAAATCTAAGACTGCGAGAAAGATGTTTAAATAGAGTCTGTCTTCTCCTTAAGTTGAGATAAGAGTCCCTGCTGGGAAAGAAAATCTCAGAGAGATGCTCTTGCTTAGTTTCCTCTATTTCCAAAACAAGGAAATAAACCAGGATCACAAAATACTACAATCCTAAAATTTCCTACGGAATTGTTATTCTATGGTCCTTTTATATATGAGATGATTGGATAAAGCAAAAAAAAAAAATGCTCAAATAATCTTTTCTCATTTATAAAAGATACTGGTGTTTGTTGTATTATTGAAAATATGAAAAATCCAGAAAATAGAAATAATATATGTCACAGTCCCAAGATAACCACTGTTAATATCTGCCCAGCTATGTCCCATCTATCCACATGGCAGTTGTGCTTAAAATCTTGGGGAGTTTTTTCCCCAAGACACCAAATTTCTCTCAGACTCAAATGAACAGAGGTAGCTCGTCACAGCAGGTTGTGTCTCTGTCCTCACGTGGGTGCCAGCTGTCCTGGCAGGTGTGGGCATGATGTGGATGTTCTGCAGCAGGTGTTCAATACACCGTGTACCTCCCATCTCCTCCGGCAGCACTGCGAGCAACAGCAACTATTCTAAAAACCCACTCTGTGGAAGCTAGAGATTAAGCAAAAGTGATTCACACCTGTGAGAATGACTTTTTTGTTTTTAAGAGTCTCTAAATTGTGGTTAAGACAGATCTGCTTGGGAACACTGCTAGTTCTGCTTAAGCACTGGGGGACTAAGGAAGAATTATCACACCCGTGTGTTTAATACCAGGCTGGCATGAGCTTCCCCAGCATCCAGTTTGTGTCTGGTTTTCTCCCTATAGGAAAAAAAATACAGCACACAGAGGCTGATACAATTGATATGGTTGTAAATCTCTTAGTCACAATTTTGTATTCTATATATTTATATATTCTACACATTCATATTCTATAACTTAAAATACAGTTTCTGCAGACTTGTGGTTGGCAAGAGGGAGGAGAGGTAAGGGAGGGGGTGGATTGAGACTCTGGGATTAGCAGAATGCAAGCTATCGTATATAGGATGGATAAACAACAAGGTCCTACTGTATAGTAACGCTAAGTTGCTTCAGTCGTGTTCGACTCTGTGTGACCTCATGGACAGCAGCCCACCAGGCTCCCCTATCCATGGGATTCTCCAGGCAAGAATACTGGAGTGGGTTGCCATTTCCTTCTCCAACTATATAGTAAAGGGATTTATAATTAATATCCTGTAATAAACCATAATGAAAAAATGTGTATATATATATATATATATATAACTGAATCACTCTGCTGTACACCAGAAACTAAACATTGTAAGTCAACTATACCTCAATAAAAAATAAATTTTAAAAATATGCATATAGTTTCTGATGAGAGAAGGGCATCTATCACTACCTTGAAGGAGGCCAAATACTATTCCAAAATGCTCTGGTGCAACTGATGATTCATGGAGTATGAATCAACACAGGAAATGGAAGCTACATGTCCGCCTACAACACAGCATCACATATTCTTACTGTATTATATCCCTGGGTTTAAATAAAGTCAGTAGGTTTAAATTGTTTTGCATCAGCAGACACTGCTGCTCTGTTACCTTTTTTCAAAGTTATGCTATTACTGAATATCAGGCAAAAACAAAAGTAGGCACCAGTAAGAATGTCAAATATAAAAGGGAATTTTGCTAAGGACAGTGTTGTAACCAAAATGAGCCACAACATATTTTTCATCAAAAAATAAGCACTGCAAATAGTCTCAAAATGGAAAGCATCTTTGGTCATCATATACTCTCATAATATTTTAAATATCCTAAGATACATATCAAGAAAGTTAATTTCACCACC